GACAGCGTTTCTTCAGTGGACTCGCCGGCGCCACACATCAAGACGACTAAGTTACTATTCTACGTATTATTTTCATAACGCGGTTTTTGAATCAAGTGAAGAAAGGCAAACTTTTACGATTAATTTTGCGAACCTCGTTGCCTTTTCGCGAATAGTCGAAATTGTGTTTGCCTTTAATAATGACTCCTTCTAAAACTGCAATTGCACCATGGCCAATTAAGCCGTTAATAAAAAGTTAACTAACAGATCTTGGTTCATTATTAAACATTGCAACGGTTATTCACCCACTCATTGTCCACCGAGCCCTACAGATATAACGAAAGACGGCATCCACATATCTGCCACATCCTTTTTTTTTTGTAAGATATGTAAAGTTCTGTAAAGAATAAAACAAAAACACCCTGAATGTCTGCGTGAACCAGATACGCCCCCTGTGGAACCATGGGTGTTTCCCTTCGAATACCCAGCTCAGGCGAGACTTACCTGGTTGTCAGAAAGCAGCTGTCGGTTAAATGTATTGTTGTTAGCGTGTAGGTTTCAGATGGTTTACCCTCAAGAGGATAATGCGCTGCATATTGTAAGCATGTACGCGCTGCACATTGTAGCCATTATTTCAATGCCGTGCTGTAAACTATTACAACTTTTTCCTTGCCTGATCTATGTGTGCTCATGTTTTCTGCTCAAAATGATGTGAAATAGTTTCTTGTCTTCTTTGAATCTTATTAAGCATTACTTGTTCAGCCCACATTTTCTCAGTTTTTGGACTTAAGTTAAATGTTAAAACGCGAGAAAAAATTGTCACGGCTTATAAGCCATTTCTTACAAGTGAACGTCGGGTGATTCTCGGATGGTCGTGGCAGCCACGAAGAAATAGAAGATTCTCACCCCTTTGCGACCGTCGCTTGGGTGGTTCGTCGCATAAATGGACACAAGAATGAGTGACAAGTGAAGCGAGCTGATTAAGGTCAAGAAAAAGAAGACGGGCAGAAAAGAAGACAGAGAAGTTAACCTGGGGTATTAAAAACATACTAAAACAATTTCGAACTTTAGTATGTGCGGTTTCGTTCCGTTATAAAATAAGATAGGAAAAAAAAACTGCTTCCGAGTTTTAGATATCCCTTTCAAATATCTAATGTTCGGCATTTGCGACCAAGGAAATGGGCATTTCATTTAAAATGCTCACCATCCGACAAACCGAAAGCGCTTCTATAAAGTCGCAATTGTTTTTATGTAAAGGAAGGGTAATGTAGCTTGTACCGTCTAATAGATTGAAGCATCATGTTGCTAACGATCGTGCCGCAGCGTAATTGATGCCGCGGTACGACCGCTGGCAGGTCGTAGCTGTATCAGAAATCCTATGTGCACTCCACCAAAGCGGCACCAAAGATTCATATTTTCGCGCGTGCAGCCACGCATGCGCACACCTTCCGGATAAGGCGCCGGACGCGACACCTGTCGCGATCAATACCAGGCGCTTCAGGCGAGCCCCTTCGCTCCCAACACTACCCAAGTAGTCTAGTACACTGTACCTTAGCGTGGGACCTCTTGGCAATGGGCGGTATTCTGTTCGCGCGTCGGCGGTCCCACGACGGCCATCTTGAACAAGCCATTAGTTCAACCACTACATGGCGGCACTCATCCTTGTGGTGAGACAACAGGCTCGTGGCAGTGATGTTCCTCCTTTGTTCTTAATGTCCTCCTTTCTCCTGCTCGCTCGTGCTCGTTCAGCGCTCAGCGCGTGCTCCCGCTGACACAATGCCAGCAAACGTGCCGGTGGTGCTAGCAGTGCCCAGATCGCACAGAAGCGGAGCTTAGCTATGTCATCGACCCGATCGAGAGCGGCTAGCTGGGCAAAATTCGTTCTTTGATACTGGCTTTGTTTATTTATTTATTTATTTGAAAATACTCCCAATCCCTTAGGGATTTTCGCAGGAAGGAGCACACAAAAGTAAGTACACACTCGTTCATATTTCATGAAATCTACAACAAAAAATGCAAGTAAATTGTACAATAAACACTGGGATATAAATTGGAGTAGAAATATCTTTAAGATGAATACACATGGGTTAACATACATTTCCAAAGCCAAATTAAACAACCACTGTTCAACAACCACACGTAAAAAAAAAATGCAATTAAAGTCATTCATAATTACACATCACTGTGCAATAAAACATCCAATTGAGATAGAAATGATGTGATGGAGGTGCTGTTAGTAATGACAGGATCTAGTTGATTCCATTCTCTGGTAGCTAAAGGAAAAAAAGAGTAGCGGAAGCAGTCATTTTTAAAGCTGTATTCAGTCAAGGTTTTACCATGTTTGTGCCTGGTCTGTCTAGTCTTTGAAAAAGAGACGTACTTGGATTTGTCAATTTTGAAAGCATCATGCAGCAATGAGTACAAGAACTTAAGCCTAAGTCGCTTTGCCCTGTTAGCTAGTGTAAGAAGACCACACTTTTTAAGGAGTTCAGTGGGTGAGTGGGTGCGCCTGTATTTGTTAAAAATAAATCTTACTGCTTTGCGCTGTATATTTTCAAGCTTAGCTATATTATTCTTCGTGTAAGGAAACCAAACGATGTTTGCATATTCTAGTGTTGGTCTAACAAGGCTAGTGTATGCTACGAGTTTCGTGGGTGTAGCGGCTAGCTTGAGTGTTCTTTTTATGTACATAAGTTTGTTTAATGCCTCTGACGTTACATGATTTACGTGTAGATCTCACCTTAAATCTGAAGTAATAAATAAGCCTAAATATTTACACTGAGTCATCCGTGAAATCGTTACATCATCAAAGCCGTACTGAAATTCAGAGATAGATTTCTTTCTTGTTACAAACATGCAAACAGTTTTGCTCACGTTGAGGGACATCTGCCAATCAGCGCACCATTTATTGATTAACTGGAGAGAGCTATTTAGTACAAGGTGATCATCCGATGTGTTGATTTCCCGGTATATGATACAATCATCTGCAAATAATCTAATTTTAGCATCAATGTTAGTTGTAATATCATTAATGAAAAGTAGGAAGAGAACTGGCGCAAGGACAGAACCTTGCGGAACGCCGGAGGTAACTCTGACAGTTTCTGAAGCCTCTTGTCCATATTGCACAAACTGGGAACGGTTTGATAAGTAGTTATCAATCCAACTGACTATAGGTCCTTCGCCAATAGCATGTTTTAGCTTGATGATTAACTTGGGGTGTGAAACTCTATCAAATGCTTTCGAGAAATCGAGCAGTAGTATGTCTACTTGCTTTCTGTTGTTAATGCTTAGGCTCACGTCATGCAAAGTTTTAAGGAGTTGGGTGACTGTTGAAAGACCACTTCTAAATCCATGTTGTTCAGGAGAAAGAATTTGGTGTGCATCAAGAAATGTTGTAATATGCTTTAGAATGATGTGTTCAAGTAGTTTACAACAAGTACAGGTGAGAGAAATCGGTCTAAAGTTCGAGGGGTTGTTGATGTCACCTGACTTGTGTATAGGTATGACTTTACATTTTTTCCATTTAACGGGTAGCTGACACGTGCTAAGAGACTTATTAAAGATTATGTACAAGTATTTGCTCATCCATTCAGCGTATCGTTTTAAGAAGGCGTTAGGAATATTATCAGGACCGCTGCCTTTTTTTTGTATCTAGGTTAAGTAAGAGGTTTAAAATTCCGGGTTCAGTTATTACCAGAGGCTCCAGAGCAATAGCGTTAGGTTCGAGATTACGGATAGTACCATTATCTTCTGTAAAAACGGACTGAAAATAACTATTATACTCATTTGCCTTATTTCGGCTCTCCTCAGGGTTTAGACTGGGAGAGTTCGTTTTTTTGGGATTAACATGGTTCCAGAATTTGGTTGGAGAGTTCTTTAAGAATTCATGAAGAGTCACGTTGTAATACTTTTCTTTTGCTTCTTTTGTTTTATTTTTTAGCACTTTTACCAATTCAGCAAGGGCAAGTCTACCCTCTGGGCATGCTTTTGTTTTCAGTGACTTTCGTTTTCTTTTAATCTTTCGCTTAGCATGGATGATATCACGGTTGATCCATGGATTGTGTTTTTTTGTTAACTTTTTTCTTGTAGGTATGTATCTGGCAACACTGTAATGAACTATATCTCTGAACTTTTTCCATAAATCGTTAATGCTGACGTTATCGCTAGAGGCATACTTTGTAAAAAAAGAAAATTCATGGGAAAGATGAGATAGTATGCTCGCGTCGTCGGCGTTATTGAAGTTAAGCACAGGTGATGGAGAAGAAAAGCGGATGGTGTCGCGAATTGGGAAAGAACAGACAACAATTTTATGGTCAGATATGCCGTCTATAACATCAATTTGTACTTCACTTTCTGGAAGATGGTCGCTAAAAAATACCAGATCAAGAACGTTACTAGTTGTTCCGTCGACACGTGTAGGCTGGTGAACCATTTGCGTGAGGTTGAAACTTAACATGATGTCAAAAAGTGCGTCAGAACAGGTTGTGTCATACTGAAGAGTGGACCAATTGATATCAGGCAGGTTAAAATCGCCAGACAAAATAAGTTTGCAATCTTTAAGATGACTAGACATGTAATCATGCAACGCGGTCAAGCTGTCAAGCTCAGTGCCAGGTTTCCTATAAACTGCACCAACAAATATCGCATTCTTTTCGAACATGACTTTGCAAAAAACGGCCTCAACGTCAGGTACGTCAGGCAAACGTGTAAAAACGATTCCTTTTTTAATGATTATGGCTACGCCACCTGCACGTGACTGCCTGTCTTTCCTTATGATAACATAGTTCGGTGGTACAACTTCATGATCAAGCACAAACGGTGATAGCCAAGTTTCTGTGACAGTGACAATGTCAGGCTCGTGATCAAGAAGTACGCATTCAAAAGGGACAGTTTATTTCAACAAGCTTCTTGCGTTTAGATTGATCAGTTTTAGTTTCGCAGGTTGGTTCCGTGGGAGACTTTGCTTGCGCTGGCTTGGTCGTTTTTTTGTGAAGAGGAATCTTATCGTTCTTAATATCGTCCCAAACAAATAGACTGCCATTGATTTTGATTTTGTCGAAGACTAGTTGCACTTTTTCTCTTCTATCTCTATTTTCCTTGGCGCTATTCCACAGCTTTTTTCTAATTTCCTGTACGGGGCGGGAAAAGTCTTCGCTGATTGCATAGATCGTCCCTTTCAACTTGTAGCAGTTTTTGAGTATTTTTGCCTTGTCTCTGAAGTCGAATAGCTTAAAAATGACCGGCCTAGTTTTGTTTTCCATTTTTTTGCCGAGTCTATGTATCCTCTCAAAACCTGCAGATTGAACCTCGAGAATTTCTTTGAGAATTTTTTCGGTAACAAAACTATCAAGCGATTCATTACTTTCGTTTACGATTTCTGGTATTCCATAAACGATCAGGTTTGACCTTCGACTTCGATTTTCAAGATCGTCTATCTTAGCAGCGAGTGTTCTTATAGTCCCAGCCACTACCAGTGGCGGATCCAAGGGGGGGGCGGTGGGGGCGATCGCCCCCCCCCCAAACGCCTCGCCATTTTTTTTTTTTTTTTTTTTTTTGTGGAGCCATTGTTTTTTTATATTTTTTGTCTTTCTGCTCGCTTTTGAAGCACATCCCTTGGTACGCCAAAAAGTGTGGCGGCAACGCGAAGGGAGTGACGCTGTTGCTTCACTTTCAAGAGCATTCGTAGTGTTACTTATGCGCCATGAAGCCCCTGTTGTCTTTCTTTTGTACGTTTTGATCCTCCTAGACACCGAGAGAAAAATATGACTCAGGAACAACCAGGAAACTGGTACATTATTGGCACACGCGTCATACAATGCTACATTGTCGCGTTTTGTCTCGCGCGTATCCCGTTACGCGAATAATTATTTCCGTAAAAAAAAAGCACGCTGAACACTCAAATTTGGTCTGCATGAAGCGAATAAAACTTAGGAATGAAATTAAATTATACCTTGGTAGAAAGTCTGTGCCAACACGGGGCGTACTTCTCGAAGCGAAATCTCGCGCGGAATTATGCACCTCTTTGACGGGCGGTAAACTCGGCAATCTCAAATCGGCATTTCTTTTTCTCCGGAAAGGACTTGCCAAAGGCAGTCATTTATGGCTCACGCAAAGTGAACAGGCTAAGGCACGTCTCAGTGAAGCTTGAGACTTGTGTCTAGGTGATAGCTGGCACTAAACAAAAACTTTCGTTGGATGCCTTCACTCCAACTGTCGCATTTTGCCCCGCGTCTCATTTGGCCCATCTTACCCTACTTCACTTTGGACAAACGCAATCTATTAGTTTTGGAGCTTCCCCCACACGAGTGTTCGTGCGGTCGAGGTGTTTTTTCACATATCAGTAGTAGTAACCAGGCATTGTGCGCAGCTTTTATCGGCGCCCAGCATGCTCGGGCTCACAAGCGCTTAGCTTCGAAAGCATACACTGTAAAAAGTAACCGTCAAATTTACGGCGCTATACGCTAACAAAAACTACAAGTACGCCGTGAAGAGGAATTATCTGCAATGCACCGTAAACGAGCAAAAAAACCGAGAGGGAAACGCAAAACTTCATGGAGCAAGAAAACAGAAAGAAAAGACGCGCTTCGCTAATTGGTCACCACTCTTGACCTTTCGGAAGCTGCGGGAACCCAGAGAGTCTCCTCTCGCCCCTTCACCTCCTTTCTTTGTCCGCGCCAGCCGCGCCAACGCAGGGCGTAACTGCCTTAACTGAAAAAGGAAAAAAAAAGAGAACTAAGAGCAAACAGCAGAGCAACAATGCGACTAGCTAGAAGCATAAACAAAACAAAGGAACGTTGGTTGGGACAACGCGGAAAGAAGCGGAAAAAGCTGACGTTCAGTTCATTTTCCCGCCTTCCCACCCGTCTCCGCGCCATTTTGTCCTCGTTCGTTTGTGGCATTCCCGGATTTTTGTGCACCTGAAAATTTGGAGCGGAAGGCAACTGGATACTCGAGGCAGGTATTTCACTATCAATCTGCTGCTTGATTGGCAAGGATAGTGTAATGGTGGCATAAATACAACACTCTAAAAGATGTTTACTTGCAGAATTTGTAGTTTCTGTTCAAGCACGCTTGATGGTTGTGCAATTCGATGAGCACGTTTTCAGCTCTCGAATTCTTCAGTGTGTGGACGAAGGATGCTGTCGCCAGTTTGTTACGTATGATGCTCTCAGGTGTCATATTTTGAGAAGACATAGGCATTGGTACGCCTAAGGGAAGTTTGGTTTGTTTCGAAAAGTTTGGAAAGCTTTCAGTGCACTTTGCCACGGGAGGCACTCACTTGATCGAATGACGTTTTAGCGAACGCCCACGTTTCACCGAACGACACTTTAGCGAATAGTCGGACGCCGCGAAGCGGCGTTTTCGGGAGGACCAAATGGGTTCATATTTTTGTAATGAGCTGCCGCAGTCTGTCGCCGCGAAGCGGCGTAAAGCGCAGCGCGACGGATGGGTTAACGCGCGCCCCCGTTATTCGCTAAAACGTCCATTCGCTCAAATGTCGCTGTTCGCTAAAATGTCATTCGCTCTTGTGATATGGACCCCTTTGCCACCATGCCTAGAGGAGTGCCACACTAGGGAGGCTTTGCTAAAACATCTAAAAGGCCACATCACCGACAGCATTTTGTTTTCGTGTTCGTTCTTCAACTGTCAGAAGGTGTGAAATCATAGTTCGATCACGGCACATTTGAACTGGGCGCATTTACGAGTGACGGGTTTCTTGGGCGACGGCGCATCGCCTGCAGGCCCGCTTCAGGTTGAGGACTCTTCGACTCGGTCGACTAGTGCGGATTCTAATGAAGACGGTGCTGTTAACGTGATGCAATCCCCTAATGATAACTACGACGTGTTAATGTCTCTGTCTGCAGGAGAAAAAAGGAAGGCCGTAAAATACGACCTTGTTTTTTTTTTTTTTTTTGTACCTGAAGTTCAACGGAACGCCTCTTATGCCGGTATCAACAGTCCAAAAAACCATTTATGAATTTCAACGTCGGCATTTCTTGTACAAACAATACATGTTCGGCGAACTTGCTGAAAGCCTTCAAAACGTGCTTGGTTCAGTCGAGGTTCATAACATCATTGAGTTCATAACATCACTATACAATGATGTTATGAACCTGAATACTACCACCTTTCTCGTCGTTTAAATTGCACCGTAAACATAACGGCGCGCTGTAAATTTGTATTACCGCAAATTTGAAGGCCGACCGTAGATTTCTACGGTCCCCGTTTAAATTTATCGTAAACCAGATTTACAGTGCACCGTTATTTTTACTGTACAAGTTTGGCAGCATCAGCTGCCTGGTATTTGACCGTAAATTTTATGGTCAAATTTACAGTCAGGACGCTACAGTGTAGCGTCCTGACTGTGTGTAGCGTCCTGACTGGTGCCCCATACGAGCAGGCACGTGTGGCGTGCACGTGAATATAGCTTTGGTAGGCTTGCAATTGCACGTGATTTTCCGCACGAGCAGAGACATTGCGTTGGCCAGATGCCCAGCTTTCTGAGGCTATGCAGTCAAAAGTACGGGAGCGTGTGCCTTGGTGTGCATAGCCACAGAAAGTTCAAAGAGTTCATCCCCTACAGGTAAACGATACAAAAGCTCTCAAGATCTATATTATGTTATCAGAGTTTAGTAAAAACGATGACTCCACAAAAAATATAAACACTCCCCCCCCCCCCCCCCCCCCCCGTTTTGCGCCGAGGAACCGCCCCCCCCCAAAATGGAGGTCTGGATCCGCCCCTGGCCACTACGGACATTTGTTCCTCACAGGCAGTGATTCTACCCTCAAGAGCTGTTATAGATTCCATTTTCTGCTCGATCGCCAGGAGTCTTACGTTCGTTTTAATCTTCTCTGATTTGATTTCCTGAAGGTCATCTGAGATTTTCTTCAGCTGTTCTAGAATCTTTTCCATGCCAGGACCGGGGTTTGTTTCAACATCTCCTCCCAGCAATAACAAATCCCTGATAAACGAACAGGCATCACACAGCAAAGGGCACAATGACCGTGGGCACGGCAGCACAAACAGGAAGAGATTGTCGCTACGTATACACTTGCCGTAGTTTCCTCTCACCTGCACAAAAAGGATGCATGGTTCGGAGGTGTTCATGCTGGTAACGCTGCCGTGCCCATTGCCGCCGTCCCGGGAATCATCCGCTTTTATAGGGTAGCTGTTAGGTGGCGCCGTTGATGTCCCAGGTGTCAACCAATACGACGGTGTCGCAGCCTGGCCGTGCAGACTGCCGAGATACGCTGATATTACCGGCAGCGGCGTCGGCACATGGGCGTCAGTGGGAAACAGTGACTGTGCACTTGGTTTTAACGTGGTACTATCGTTGCTTCGATGAACTGGCCGGGCATGCAGAAGGCCCAGCAGGATCTGCACAAAAAGGATGCATGGTTCGGAGGTGTTCATGCTGGTAACGCTGCCGTGCCCATATTTAGTTACTCTCTCCGTGCCCGCTGGCTTGCCCGAACCCCGAAGACGTGGAAACTGCCAAAAAAGGTAGACACTTAAATATGATTGCAAGGCCCCTTTAATTTCCATTTTACATTTGAGAGATAATGAACAGCATGCTGGGAAGAGTAGAGCATTAATCTGAAAAGATGTGTAGTTTGGGGAGCACAGAATACTACCGCATTTAAAGAAAACATTTTCTTCGCAGGCATCGGCGGTTGGCCTCTTCCTGGTGCATCTAATCCACACGGCCTTCCTCCTCACGGGCAACGTTTCCGTCAAGCTGAACGCGAACGTGACCAAGATTCTGCGTGGGATCAACCTAACGAGCGTTCTCCACCCTCCCGACGCGTGACAGACGCTCCGAAGGAACCGGCGCGTTTTCCCGTAAAGGCACTCGGTGCGGGGGAGCCAGTGGCTGCAGTCTATACGCGGGCAGCCTGGCGAACGACGGGGCTGAAAGTGTCTGTAGACCCAGAGTGTCGCTGACAAACCTAAGAAACCAAGGGCGTGACGAGTCCCCTATAGCATCTCCCTATGGCTCAGCAGCCAATCAAACTGCGCCATTAGCCGATCTGAACGCCGAAGGACCAATCGCGAAGCGAGTAGCATGAATTAACACAATGGGCCACGCCCTGGGTTTCCTTAACTGTCGTCGACTATAAGAAAACTAAAATATAAGTCTGCGCCATGACACTGGACAAAACACGAGAAAATTAGCGTTTAAGAGCGAGGCGAGGAATCCTGCTTTTGGTTTTAAGGCTAGGTGGCTTAAGCTACCGCCTGTTAGTATCCATCCATCCATTCTCCGCGTGCTTGCGTCATGATGCGTGTCACAGCGAGACAGTTTTTTTTTTCTAGGTTTAAAAACATTTCTAGCCTCGCCATTGGCCGGGCTCCCTCCGTATATGGCAGTGATTGGCTCCCCCAAGTATTTTGCGGGAAGGAGGGCGTGCCAGGTTTCTTGGAGTGCAGACACTCGCAGAGCACGCGGTGGCAAACGGCAACACCAAAACTCGGTGTTAAAATGTCCGACGCGGCTACGTAAGCGTATACTGACGACGCTCCGAAGAAAAAAAAAATATATATATATATATACATTCGTGCGTTCATTTTTCCGAAGTCCACTCGAAGAGGCAATTGCGGCGAGCCACGGAGGGATTTCGACCGATGAGGGGTTTCGGACCAATGATGAGGTGGCAAAGACGTTTTCACTAGGAATGTGCAAATTGTGGTTCGAATCAAATAGAGCTCCGCGTCGCTCACAACCTTCGCATTGCTTTCTTGGCAGCGTGGAAGTAAAGAATGACGCTGCACTATTTGAATCGGAGCAGTATTCGCACATCCCTACATTCTAAAATATCTACTTTCCCGCAAAAGCACTCGAGAGATCCAATCGCTGCAATCGGCGAACGACGTGGCTGAAAATATGTTCGGACCTAAAAATGAAGTCTAAGGCACTACGTAATCTAGGCGGCGGGACCGAGGGACCGGGTCATCGCCGCCTGCTGCGATTGGTCAGTGGTGATGATCTGGCCAATCGCAGCAGGTGGCCATGTCCCGGTTCCCCCGTCCCGCTTGGCCCCACCATGTATAGGTCAGGGCCCCTGGTCTGTCGCGCTAACCGTGACGATCCACGTGCTATACGGCGTGCGCGGTATCACGGCGTAGATGTTTCTTTAGGTCTAGATACACATTTCGTAATACGCCCGCGGCTTCTTCGGTACATTGCAGTGATCGATTCTCCCGAGTGCTTTGCAGGGAAGCAGAGGCACCAGATTCCTCAATAGGTTGTCTTCACCGAAAAAGAATACCTGTGATGGGACACTTGATCATGAGTCATGACGTATACGTTTTTCTCGTCTAGGTCCAGCTATCTTTTTTCTTTTTTTTTTTAGTCTTGTGCCATTTGTTGAACGTAGGTTGTATCCAGTAATCGACTCTATAAGGGCTTGGCGGTAAGGCACACGCGTCGTCATTTGTTTTAGAGTAAATTACACCAGGATTGGAGTGTACATTGTGACGTGCGTGTTTATACGCACGAAGAATTTTGTATTGTGGAATACAGTTACACATACTTCACACATTTGTAGTGGTTTGTTTTTTATGACGTCACACAATTTGAAACTTCGGCGTATTTTTTTCTTCTGATTGGTTGTTAGCCGTTTGACAAAAAGAGCTTTCGTAGATCGTTCTCTCTGCTCCGCTACGCTCTCCGCAACGAAGACGCCGTTAGTGCGTGTGGGCGCCGCTGGCCTTGCCTCCAGAGTTCAGGATCTTGTAGCGAGGTGCGGAAAGCGTTGTGGGACGGAAGAAACGACATACGAAAACTCCCTCAAGTCTCGACCACACCAGCGTCGCGGAGGCTTGCTGCCCGCCACTGGAAGCCGCGGGCTGCCGGCCAAAGGCAGCTTTAGCCTTTGACCCTTAGCGGCTCGCCGCTCGGCGCAGTCCTGGCAACCCACCCACGCGTGGCTAAGGGCTCGCCGTTTCTCGCCGCAGGAGAAAGAAGCCAATGGCAGGTGGCGCAAAGAGTGACGTTGCGATGCCATGGCAATGCGCTAGCCGCTTCTCCGCGCGGATTCACGTTGCAAAGGAGCGTAGCCAGCGTAGCGTTGTTTCGTTTCGTCTGCCATCCCTATTTCCCCCAATGTTTTTTTCCAGCGGAGCGGTTCCTCGAAACTGTGCGACTTTTCTTCTTTCTGTATGGAAAGACACAACCAGCCTACCTAGATAAGGGCGCTACGAACAACCACCGAGAAATTATCGCAGATGAATTCGGAATGACGGGTGACTGTCTCCGTGGCACCTGTTGCATGTCGCCTGAATTGTGATGGATGTCGTGCTGATTTGGTGACACCCTCAAAAATAGCCTTCATCTCTGGCGCGCAGCCGGTGCAGAAAAGCACCGGCTGCGCCAACCCTCCTGTCCCTCGGTGTTTCGGTAGCGCCAACTCGGCCGGACCCGAAACCTGCGCCTTCTTCCCTTCAGAGCGCGACGACGTCGCAAGATCAACGAGCAGGCTAGGATAATCGCATTCACGCTGATCTCCAGGTCGTCACCCATTGTTGAACCAACATCGGCCTGCCACTGGCAAAAATTGGCTCGAATATTGGCCTTACGTTCGTTTTCTCGAAAGCGCTACCCGATCCAATGTTGGACCATTCACTAATGCCAATATTAGACCACGATTCAACGAATAATTAAACCAATACTGGACCGTCAATCATGCAATCGTTGGACCGCCCTTTAACCAACATTTAAGCGAAGGTTGAGTCACAATTTAGCCAACACCTAAGCCATCATTGGACCACTATTGGTAATGGGTCTTAGAACCAATATTGGCATCCAAGTTAAAATTATAGGCTTATCTAATACTGGCTTAATTCCAACATGTCCCGGGTATTTTAATTTCGGCATCCGCTTTTAAGCTCGGGTTGTACCAGTTCGGCAGCCATTTTAGCGGCAACGCAGCTTTTTTTCAGATTACTTAGTGTTCAGTGGAACACTATATATGCATACATATGAAAAGGAAGCTGCCGTAGACAAGCCACATTCACTGTGGAAAATTGTAACTCAGTGCTTCATGCAGGTAAATATAAAAAAAACATGCAATGCAAAATGTACCGTCATTACATTTTATTAAAAAAAATTTTATTGAAGAAAATAAAACAAAAATGAGTGCCAGGATTCTCACTGCAAGCTGTGAGCCGGGCAGGAACTTGAGATCCCACGCAGGGTTCTGGGCACAGGCTTCTGAAGGAGGCAGAAGTGGAGGCCTGAATTCAGGTGAAGGGTTTCAGAGTCCATGGACATCTCTACCAGTTCCCACTAGGCCACCTCATATGCACTAATTTGAAATATTCCTTTACCTTTTACCTTCAGTCACTGTCAGTTCTCTCTTACACTCGTAAATTATGATTATCAAAACAAAATATAGCTTCATTACTCGTCGCCCTTTAATTAACTATTTGATTAATTGGTTCAGTTTCTCTCCAAATTTAGAGCCCCAGAGAGGCCTACCGACTTTTTTTCATGTAAACATTTTTATAGTGAAAACTTTCTTTTCCAGCGAATTAATTTTCATTATTTTGTATGCAATAAACTTGAGTATTCTAGGAGACAAAAATACTGCCTTCTAAAATAAATAGATGTACAGGTTAGGCACCTGGGCCGGCTCGCAGGAATCAGCGTCTCAGCTGAGACTGGGTGCAAGAAAGCACTGCAAAGTCTGGGGCGCGCGAGCGTCTTGGGACGAGGTTTGAGTCCCGCTCGACTCATGCGCTGGCTTTGACACTGCTTTCTTTCCCTCAGTCTCAGCTGAGACGCTATTTCCAGCAAGCCGGCCTAAGCGTTTATTGTTGCTTTGTTCGTCCGGCTTGTCCTAACTCAGAACCGCGGCAAAAGAAACATTTAGGTGATGACTCTCTGTCCTACGCAGCGAGCACCGAGCGCTTCACTCGCACAGGGGTAAATGGCACCCAAGTATGGGATCCCTCCCAAACCGACCGCTCCGGTTGTTTCTCCCAGCGGTAATCCCGCATTCCCTCGCTCACCGCTTCTTGTTGTACCCACGGTGGAAGAAACACATCTAGGAGATGCGGCGGCCACATTACGT